GCGCCATCTCCGATGTGGGTCACAGAGTCCGGGATGGTCAAGCTCACCAAAGACCTGCAACCCCCAAATGCACGATCCCCGATGTGGGTCACTGAGTTGGGGATGGTGAAGTCAGCCAAAGAGCTGCAACGATCAAACGCATAGTCCGCAATGTGGGTCACTGAGTTCGGGATGGTTACGGTCACCAAAGAGCTGCAACCCAGAAAGGCACATCTCCCGATGTGAGTCACTGAGCCTGGAATGGTGCAGTGTGACAAAGAGCTGCAATTCTCAAAGGCCCCTTCCCCGATGTGGGCCACTGAGTCTGGGATGGTCAAGTTCACCAAAGACGTGCAAGACTGAAAGGCGGAATCCCCTATGTGGGTCACTGAGTCCGGGATGGTCAACTTCGCCAAGGACCTGCAACCCACAAAGGTATCTTTAGCAATGCCAGTCACAGAGTTTGGGACGATCAAGTCTACAACAGAGCAACAGCCAGCAAAGGCAGCAAAGCCAATGTGGGTCACTGAGTTCGGAATGGTCACTTTGGCCAAAGTGTCGCATCCGTCAAAAGCGCATTCACATATCTGTGTTTCATCGTGTGGAATTTCCACCACAAGCAACAGTTCCGAGTCGACAATGCCACCAAGACTAGCGATCGCATCCTTGTTGGAACATATTACTTTGTTCTGTTTGAAGACGGCAGTCAGAGCACTATCTTCAGCAATTCCAGCATCCAATACCTTTGCATCATTGGCCAGAAACTGGTCGTCTCCTACAATGATCTCTACAACTGTAGTGCGGCGAGTGAGCTCGTCCCAGACCTGTCCGTCCTTGATCTGCTGCTTGAGCTCCTTGCCTGTTGTCTCAGGCGTGACTTCAAGAACTATGACTTCACCACTCGGTTGCAGCACTGAAATCCTCTTCGCCATGGCTCAAGAGTCCTGGATGCGGACTTAATTGAGCTGATTGCTTTGCTTGTTGACTAAAGCCTCCAAGAGTTCCCTCTATGAGTGTGACAAATGAGTGACAAATTGACATAGCCACCTATCCCTGGGCAGGTGAAGACATTACACCCTATCATTTTCAACGTCCCAAAGCGTTGAAGAAAGAAACCCTCGAAGTCTGGCTGATGTCTCTATGGAGCCCATGATCTGATCATGTCTCTATTCGGAGTGGTGAGAAGTGAGAACCTTCTGAATCCCAGGTTCATGGTGCCCACGAGCACCTTCCAGAGTCCTAGTGCGAGTCCTGGTTGGAAGAGGCACTAAACAAGGATCCCACTCAGGGTGGCCCCTTCATCGTCCATTGACCCCTTTTCGAAACTGGCGCCTCTGACGCCGGCAAGGCATGCCCCTTCTTCAGTCACTGCCTCGATGGATCTTTGGGGAGGGTGAATGACCAGCCAAGTGACCAGCCAAGTGAAGGGAGAACCGCGAACCACTTAGCAGTCGTTTCCTTGTCACCACCACGGTTTGTGCCTCGCTCAAGACCAAAAGACCGGAGGTCTCTCTCCATTCTTCATCCATTTCTTTCCAATTTCCAACCAACCCCAAAAGGTCTCCGGATCCGTTGAAAAGAACAACATCGGCGCCACCTGGGCGTCCGCGTCCGCACACGGCGTCCGCGTCGGACGGCCTGCCACGATGGACGGCCTGGAGCCCCTGATGTGTCTGTTTTGAGTGGACACCACTGAAGTGCAGGTCCAGGTGTGATGAGAACAGCATCTTTTTCAAGGTTCAATATTCTACCATGAAGCAACTTTGAAGTTGAAGGACCACTCCGGCAATCAGTTAAGCGAGAGTCCTGTGAATGTGGATGTAGTGCAAGCTGCGTTCCAGTCACTTCCAGCATTACTCCAGGCCGAAAGTGCGTTGCTTTGTGTTTGCGTTGTCATAAGCAAGTCTGGTGTCCACATTGGTGAGTAAACATTGCTGGGGACCATGGAACTAGGTTTGCAGAATGTCTGTGAAACACAGGGGACTACCAGTGGCTATCCATCGAAAACAACTTAACATGAGACCTCCATGTGGTGGTTTCATGTGAGTTGCCAGGAGATGTCGAGTTGATTTCCAGGGGAACAGCCAAACCTAAAACCGCCTCTCAGGCCCTCCAACAGCCCAACGACCACAAGGCTTCAGCCAATGAAATCATGAGCTCCTCAAAGAAATTAGTATAGCATCCAGATGGAGCAAAACAGAAAACTTGAGCCAAGAACCCCTGGGGGCAAAGTTCTGCATCCTTATCTGAGCTATATACATATATGCACAAAGAAACACGTGTCTTTCGCCACCAACCCTTGACACCGCAGCCTTTGTCTTTCGCCTCATCAGCCGGCCTCATCCCTTTTCAGCTCTTGCTGTGTTCCTCGTGGCCAAAGCCTGGTTGGCGGTCCAGGTCCCAAAATCGTCCGAGACTGGTTCTTCCATTTCGTTGGCGATTTCGGTGACTTCGGGGTTCACCGTTGGTTCGGTTGATTCATTCACCCCGGGCCGTGATTTTCCGTTGCTTCAGAACACAGGTCCAGTCCACCGAGTCGGGCCGCGTCGGGTCGAGTCGACGGTTGCACCGCGGTGGGCTCCGGCACTGTGGTGGCGATCCGGTCGGGTGGGGAGCCGGTCGGAAGTCTCTGGCCGATGGGGTGGTGGGGTGTGCCTCGTCCCATCTGCTGTGGAGGTGGAGGTGACGACGGGGCACCCCGACTACCTCCTTCCTCCCTGAAGTGAGGAACCGGCACCGGGTCCAGACGTGACTGGTCTTTTGATGTTCATGGATGTTCATGAACGAAGAACATACTGACTATAGTTTATAGTCTACTGATTTCACTTGCCGATTTCAGGGATTTGATGAGGTATGCAGTCAAAGTTGTTGTTTTGGCAGTTTGTGTTCCCTGCAACCCAGGAAACCTAGTCCATAGTGCAAGTGTGGATAAAATTAGATAAACTGAGTCTGCTGTAATTAGCTGATGGGCAGAAAAAAGGTTTCCTCATCCATGAAATTACTTCCTCAGAACACGTCCGATTGAGAATATGGTATGAATCTTTACATCTCTCTGGCGCTCTCCCGATGACCACCCGAAAAAAAAAAAAAAACATGAACATTATAAGGACTATAGATTGAGAATATGGATCTTTAATGGATCTTTACATCTCACGCTCTCGCGATTACCACCCGAAAAAAAAAAAAAAAAAGAAAAAACATGATAGACTGAGAGACTGCTTCGAGACGAACACACGAACCCACGAACGCAGAGGGAACGAAGAATCCGAACCGAACGACTATCCTTGGTACCAGTACACCCTCCGCCGTCACCGCGTGTTGTGCAGTGGAAAACCTAACTGGTGCAGACAATGACATCCATATTCTCGAGCACATGGGAGTTGCTGGTGGCTGTGAGGTAGTTGGACCCATGCTAGTTAGGTATAGTTGGTCCCTATAGGGAGTCCAGTCGTAGCGAACCTCAGAAGGTATGACTGGACCCTCCTGGCACCTACAGAACAGTGTCTCCAAACCTACAGAACGGTGTCTCCAAGCCTATATACATAACAGTGTCTCCAAACTCCAAACTAACCATCAGGTGCTTGTTTTGGGAGTGGGTGACATGAAAGGGGGCACCGGCGCCACTCCACTCCTCCACAAAAGGACCCCGGCGACGAGGTCGAAAACAGCTGTCCATTTTCCAGCGACAGCGACATCCAGCAAGTGGCGCCATTCTTGGGGGACAAACCCAGCCTTTCAGAAACCTATATCTTCAATCCAGGGCCCTATCCCGCCGATTGTTGTCGTCAGCTGTGTCGTCTGCGCTTTGCAACTCGGCACGTTTCAATGGCACCTGGCCCACTGTGCTCAACTAACACTAAAGAGCTGCAACCGTGAAAGGCGCCAACTCCGATGTGGGTCACAGAGTCCGGGATGGTCAAGCTCGCCAAAGAGCTGCAACCTAGAAAGGCACGATCCCCAATGTGGGTCACAGAGTCCGGGATGATCAAGTTTGCCAACGAGCTGCAATTAGCAAAGGCCCAATCCCCAATGTGGGTCACACAGTCCGGGATGACTACGCTCACCAAAGAGCTGCAATTCTCAAAGGCCCCTTCCCCGATGCTGGCCACTGAGTCTGAGATGGTCAAGTTCACCAAAGATCTGCAAGCCCCAAAGGCAAAATCTCCGATGTGGGTCACTGAGTTCGGGATGGTCAAGCTCACCAAAGATCTGCAAGCCCCAAAGGCATGATCTCCGATGTGGGTCACTGAGTTTGGGATTCTCAAGTTCGCCAAGGAGATGCACTCCCGAAAGGTGTCATTCCCAATGTGGGTCACTGAGTCTTGAATGGTCAAGTTTACCAAAGACCTGCAACCCAGAAAGGCACGATCCCCAATGTGGGTCACTGCGTTGGGGATGGTCAAGTTCATCAAAGAGCTGCAACCAGCAAAGGCATAGTTCCCAATGTGGTGAACTGAGTCTGGGATGGTCAAGTTCATCAGAGATTTGCAACCCCCAAAGGCATGCTCGGCGATGTGGGTCACAGAGTTGGGGATGGTCAAGCTTGCCAAAGAGCTGCAACCGTAAAAGGCATGTTCCCCAATGTGGGCCATTGAGTCTGGCATGGTCAAGATTGCCAAAGCACTGCAACTCCCAAAGGCATAATCCCCAATGTGGGTCACAGAGTCCGGGATGGTCAAGTCTACCAAAGAGTTGCAACGTGCAAAGGCCCAATCCCCAATGTGGGTCACCGAGTCCGGGATGGTCACGTTCACCAAAGAGCTGCAATTCACAAAGGCATAGTTCCCAATGTGGATCACTGAGTTCGGGATGGTCAAGTTCACCAAAGAACGGCAGCGAGCTAAGGCACATTTGCCGATGCGAGTTACAGAGTCCGGAATGGTGACTTTGGCCAACGTTCGGCAACCTTCAAAAGCCTTATCATCAATTTGTGTGTCATCATCTGGTATTTCGACCACCAGAAAAAGTTCGGAGTCAACAATACCACCCAGACTGGCGATCGCGTC